ATCGGAGGTACCATTGTGACCAGGACTGTTGAAATGTTGGCCAACTGGTGTGCTGGAGTTTTTCTGGACTGAATACCTATGGTTATTAAACCTAGCTCTTAGTGTGGTGGTAGTTTGACCTACATATTGAGCTGGACAGACTTTACAGGATATCATCATCATCATCATCATCATCATCATCATCATCATCATCATCATCATTGCATTTATAGAGAGTATAATAACCAAAATAACTACTCATCAGCATGCTCTATTAGTATGCTGCTTCAAAGACAGAACAAAGCACTTAAAAGGTGGCTGGGTGACGTTACTGTCTGTTCCTACTTTCTTTTCGCAGGTATTGAATAGGAACCAAGGTGTTGACATCCTTCTCTTTTTTTATCTTATTGGGGACACTTATTCTGGTCCCTCGAAAACATTTAAAGACTCGCTGTTTGCGGGTAAATTAAAAAGAAGCATAACTGGGTTATTTTTACAGATTGTTTCCTTTATATCAAAAATGTAGAAAGCATCCAACTACCCCTTATGTAGTCAGTTCTGTCTTTGATACAGTATAATATTAATAGATCATGCTGTAAAGTGCGAGTACGTATATGAGCCGTGTTAATGATATTATAATAATTAATAACATTTTGTCATAACTAAAAATTACATAATTCATATCAAGCATTTCATTATGAATTATGCAACTCTATGTTTCTGTTGTGCTAGATGGTTTGAAAGGGGCCGCCACATGGTATTTGGTCTACTACTGATCGGACATTGTGTCCGCTATAAGCTCTTAAAGTCTTTGCGGACGCAGCAGACACATATGACCTATTAGTAGCACACCAAAACCAATGCTTCGACATATTTCGAACCATCATACACAAATCAGAAGAATGGATTTGACCATTTCATAGTATGCATGCTATTGCTTGCCTTTTCAAATACATGTAAAGAAAAGAGAATTGAAGAATCTGTATGAATAAATAAGTCTTGCTTCTTTTTAGAGTACCCCAAAACAGCGCGTCTTTAAATGTTGAAGACAGACTAGAATGCGTGTCGTCAAAGAGTTATGAGTTAAATTGAAACTGTTATAGTATAATGGTATGTAGTTTACGTTGTAAACAGCGATTGTATGTGTGTCTGCTTAAAATAAATGAAGTTATTCTAATAAGTGTATACATAATAATATAGAGGTCACAAGTTTCGAGTAACAAATCAGGATTAGCCTCCAGCTATACTTGAAGTATGCTTTTTGTTTTCTTCTACCTTTCATTTTTCTTTTCTTTTTCTTTCTTTCAGTTGGAGGCAAGGGAGGCTGAGCATCGTCGTGTGCCAACTGGTAGTGGAAATAAATCTGCCAAAACTTAGAAGACTCTCTTTGACCAATATTACCCTTCCAAGCAAAGAAACAAGAACACAAAAATGCCCACAAAGAGGAACATTGATATTATGAAGGTGATAATTATTTAAACTACATCATGGCTGTTTTTAAAATAGCTTGTCTGTTTGCTATCGCTTGTTAAGATAAAGTGAACAAAACAAAACACCCCCATCCCCCAACAAGAACAAAAACAAAAACAAAAGTGAAACGGGTAGAGCTGCCAGTTCAAGGCAATTGGTTTGTGACCAGGAACTACGCGCCGCCACAGCAGACAAGATACAACTAACCCCCCCCCCCCCCCCCTTCCCCAGAACCCGAAAAGTCGTACTTATGTTTGTGTCCTTGAAGAGAGAGAGAGAGAGAGAGAGAGAGAGAGAGAGAGAGAGAGAGAGAGAGAGAAGGAGGGATGGAGATAAGATAAATAAGTGGGGAGGGGGGAGGGGAGAGAACGGCTTGAAAAGTGTAAGGACAGTAAAAGATACTTGATAATTGATTTCACGCTAATCTGCAGACATATTATTATATATTGGGCTGTTGTGCGAAATGGACTGAGGAGGTTAAAAAGCTTAAAATTGCGGCGTCTTTTGTCCACATGACAAATGAACGAACATAAAAATTAATTAATGAACAAAAAAGACGAAACAAGCATAATCTGCCCTCTTAACACACAAAAAGCCAAAATAGCCAAAAGATCAATCATGGGGTGGGGTAGAGAGAAAACATCATGTCTTTCAAAAAAAAAGAGTAGAAAAACAGTCATCTTAGTAGACAAGTAAACAACCTTCAAAACTAACTAAAACAATCAAATGAGAAAAAAAGAAATGTTTAAAATTGACCGTTACCTGCCGGGTCCCTGTTTATCAACAACCAAATCACCAAAATGCTGCAAGCAGACTTACGAATTAATCATTCTTTTGTTCACTCATTTAGTCAAAAACAACTCGGAACGTTCACTTCTGTTAATTGTTATGACTAGCACTTTGCTCACGCGAGCTAAGGCATAAACGTTGTAACTTTACCCATGCGAACTCCGGAACAGTAGCAGGAGAAGAGACGTTATGCACGAGCTGAGAAGTGTGGGGAGTGTGGAGAGAGGAGGCAGGGGAGAAAAAGAAGAAAAGTAGTGGTAGGGTGGGATTTCTTTTTGGATCCGTCAGATCTTAAAAACATCGGCCGTACTTTCCCCAGTGAGATGTAAACAAAGTTTTGTTGATAGTGGGTTTGATTTTGTGAGCGTGCGTGCGTTCGTGCGTGCGTGTGAGTGTGTTTGTGTGTGTGTGTGTGTGTGTGTGTGTGTGCGTATTTGTGTGTGTGTACGTGTGTGTGTGTGTTTCTGTGTGCGTGTGTGTGAGAGAGAGAGAAAGAGAGAGAAAGAGAGAGAGGGGGGGAGATAACCAAAGAGAGAGACAGATAAAGAGGGGGAGAAAAAGAGTGCTAGAGAGAGAGAGAGAGAGAGAGAGAGAGAGAGAGAGAGAGAGAGAGAGAGAGAGAGAGAGAGAGGGAGGGAGAGAGAGGGGGGGGGGGGGAGAGCGAGTGTGCGCGCGTGTGTGTGTGTGTGTGTGTGTGTGTGTGTGTGTGTGTGTGTGTATGTGTAAGGGAGAGAAAGAGGTACACAAGACAGAAAGGGAGATACTTTGAGGTTTTGGATTATCGAACGTTGTATAAAGAAAACGTGTGAGTGCACCTTATCCAAGAGCTGATAAAACGAAATAAGTATGGGATCACCGAGGGCAATAAGGGCACGTGCTCGTGTTTCTGTGCATTATTCCTCACAATTATGTATATTTGTGTATGTTTTTGTTTGTGTATACATGAGTGTGTTTGTTAGTGTGTGGAGTGGGGAATTTTTGTGCAGATAGATAGATAGAAATAGACAGCGAACAATAAAACGCTATAAAGCTCTGGTAAGCCCGAACGTTGCAAGGCTTCTCTCTTTTGTTATTTCCATTTGCGCAAATTTCAGACGTACGCTAAATCCGCGTAGATCTACATCCTTACGCACGGGAGGTCTAACCAGCCATTTTATATTTCAGTACTAGACGGGTTCGAAAACAACACACAAATACAAAATGCAGACAAGAGCACTAAACGAAGAATAATGCCAGCGTCGTAGGAACTGTCTTATATTACTCTTCTCCTGTCTTGAAGCAGACAAAAACCTTTACCAGAAGGTTCTCTTGTTTAGCCTTTCGTTCTGCTCTCTGTCAACATATTTATCTCACGGACGAGGGTGGTTTGTGGGTTTTTGGTGGCTGTGGTGAAATGTGGGGAACGGAGATGTCAAGATTCTGTACTAACAAACACAAGGATGATTCCATTTTGACTAAGATTCCGTAGATTAATGTGTTTGGGCACACGTCAAAAGCAGAAAAAGAAAAGAAATGAAAACAAAAGTAACAAAAAATAATAATCGTAACTAAATTGGTGTTTGTAAGCCGTGTTTTGTACGCGTGTTGTCAAGTGTGGGCGCAAGCGTGTGTGTGTGTGTGTGTGTGTGTGTGTGTGTGTGTGTACGCGCGCGCGTGTGTGTGTATATTTGCGTGTGTGAGTGAGTGCGTTTGTGTGTGTGTGTGTATGTGTGTGTATGTGTGTGTGTGTGTGTGTTTGTGTTTATGTATGTGTGTATGTCTGTAATTGATAAGATATTTTACAGTTGGCTCTCATAAAGACTACGGATTCCAATGAGTGCGTGTGTGTATGTATTTTTATGTATGTGCGTGTTTGAGTTTGTATGGCTGTATGTATGTGTGTGTGAGTATGTGTGTGTGTGTGTGTATGTGTGTATGTGTGTGTGTGTGTATGTGTGTGTGTGTGTGTGTGTGTGTGTGTGTATGTGTGTGTTATCAAGAAGTTATTTGTGCGGTTGACTCTCATGAAGACTACGAATTCCAGAAATCTTCTACGCATGTACACATACTTTTTCATCTAACAAGCTAACCAGACAGACGTCAAAACAGCACTGATAAAAACGAAGAACTTAGCAATGCTCTGCTCATGAATATAATAGGCCTTTTTCCCACAGCAAGTCTCCGGTACAGGGGGTATAGTTAATTATTGTTCACGCGGTTTTTATTCTTGTTATTGTTGTTAATAGTGGTGGTTGTTGGAGTGAATTACAGTTCTGCAAGCCAACATGCTGACGACTATGTTATTATTATTAAGCTGAATATTCATCGATAAAAATATTTAGGAATGGGAAGTAACTTGAGCAGAGCACACCAGAGCATCCATCAACCATGGGTTATTGGTTTTTTTTTTAAAAAGAAAGATATTTCACCTTCACCCTGCGGTCCATTCAAGTATAAAACGTAACAAAGCATGTGTTGTCTTTTTTTCTTCTTTTTTTGAAAATGTTTTACTGCTCTCGCAACTGCATGGTCATATGAGCGCGCGGGACACATTTAACATTTTTAAATGGCAGGAAATTTTGAATTTTGTCCGGGTGGCCACCGAAGCCTACTCTTATCGATTTTGGATCACCAAGGGATCTTTAACGTGCGCAACTTGCACACGGGACCTCCGAGATTTTTCGTCCTTTTCCGAGAATTCTAAGTGTAGATCTGTCCTACCATAAGATCAGGGGTATGGTTGAAAGACAGCAGTATGAAGGAGCCAAGGAGTAGCATTAGAAAGGTTGCAGAAAGAGTCAGGGGCCCAGAGGAGGGGGGCAAAGGGGGAGAGTGGGGGCAGAAATTGGAGACGACAGCAGACAACAGAGCATAACTAGAGAGCAGGAAAGGAGGTGAAAGGAGACACTTTTAGAGAAAAAACATTTTCGTCGCTATCCGGATTCGAACACGGGACCTATTGAATGAGAGGCGAACACTTTATCATCTAGGCCATGAAGCCCCCCGCCCTCTCCCAATTCAAGTAAAAAACGTAACAAAACATGTGTTGTCTGGGAAATTCATATTTTAAGTGTGAGAAGTTCAGAACACCTCGACTTTCCTTGATAGGTGACAACGTATACAAAGGAAACTTCTAAGCAAGCTTCAGGTGCATCCTATTAAAATCTAAAATTAAGACGTAAAAAAACCCTCTGCTCTTGGCTGGAAATCAGATCTCCCTGACCCATTAGCGCACTTCTGCTCCCCTTGTAATACCCTGTACATTCATCATCCTTCTGTTGGTTACCGTACACTAATACCACCCCCCCAAAAAAAAAACACCAAAAACAACAACAACCGCTGCAATTTATGTCAACAACAAAATCCAACTCAAATTTGTGTTATAGCCTTGTGTCAACTGAAAATCATTTTAATATATCATTAGATTTAAATAACGATTTGCGTCTTAGCCTTCAAAGAATGGGTTTCATCGACAAGAGATAGCTTGAGGAATATTTTTTTGGGGGGATGCAAGTTTATGTTCGAGAGCATAACTCAAGCCCACACAGTTCGCATCTATGTTTTTGCACAACCTCGTGGAAATATAAAGATTCCTTTCACCTTCAAGCACTTACATAAAAATGAATTTTTTAAAATGGAAACTCTTTTTTTTAAAACTCTGTCGATATCGCAACTTTGTACTAAGATGCTGAGTCGATTTACCGTTTATCTAAATTACTGTAGTGAACGGCGAGGTCAAAGAGTCATGAACTC